GCCCATTCAGCCCTCTAAGTAGATGCCATATCAGAGAACATTATAAAAGAAAATATAAAGTTCTCATGTGTGAGTTTTAAAATGTAAATACTTAATTAGGGAGCAGATTAAGGATTTCTTTTTGTCTAAAGTAACTCAGAGTGTTGGTATTTTGGAAAAAAAAAATCTATAGATGATTACTGGCAATGTTACTTGTCTTCTGGCCAAATTTGTAGAGTACATTTATGTTATGATTTAACTTTTCATATGCTTTTGCAATTTGCCTCATCTGTCAGAATTTGTCCATCTAAACAAACATGCACTTTAAGATAATAAAAAAACCCCTATGTGGACTCAAGTGAAAAGCTACATCACAAATACTGTTGTTCTGTTATTTTTGTTTTGCATTAATCAACCATTGTTTTTATCTACTGTCATTAGTTTTAATTTTATTTTGTTTATCATTAAGCATCACCTTCAAAGCAGAGATTCCAAAATGCTTCTTTCCATGAATATGTAGTTTGGTATATGTACTTGGCACTTCTACCGTGCCGTTGGGCTTCAAAGGGCTTTGCCTAGAGATTGTTTAGAATACATTAACAGTAACGTTGCAGCAGTAATGTCTTCAATGTAAGAAATACTCTTTACTTGTTTTAGGAACAATTCCCATGTCAGCACTGCCATTGCATTAGGTGAGAAGAATTTCTGATTATGCTTAGTATTTATCCTTCCTGCTCACATTTACAAAAGCAATGAAGTAAACAAATGATGTTTATAGATGGGAGGTTAGAACAAGTAGCTACAGAATCAAATCTTACAGCTGTAAGTAAACAGGAAAAGCTTTTCCCTGGAGAATTAGGCTGAAGCCATTATGTTTGAAACTTGCTCTGCTTTGCCAGCTTCAGCGTTAATCAAGCTTGAGCACAGAAGGATGCTGGAATTGCTATATTTTTTTTCCACACATTTTGGGTTTTGCTAACAGATACAAAAATAACTCCCGGTGAAACATGTGAGACACGCTAAGCTGTTTAACAATGCACTTGGTCTTTTTAAGAACTCGGTGCTTTGGAAAGGGTGAGCATGGGGCAGAATAGCAGAGAAAAACTTACGGCCATGTATTCATGGCAAATTTGCAGACACCCAATTCTACTTGATGGACTATGTTTTCAAGTTCAAAAGGTAAGATTGTATTTTCCATGCACATTTAAGATTATCTAGCAATAGTTCAAAAAGAGCCTCCCATCACTTTGGGCATGATAAATTGCTAGCCACCTCCTCTTATTGCAGTTCACTACATTGCCTCAAGCTCTTTCCCATATCACACACAGTATTTTATTTGGGTTTGGAAACCCAGCTAGGTGACAAAGGCACATAAGTTTTCAAAGATGAGTGGCTGTCACATATTGCCTACAATTTCCAGAAGTGGAAGAAATGCCTAAGTTGAGCTGGCCAGCAGGTTGTCTACACCCTGAGGTTAAGCAATAACACAGCAGTCTGAGACCTAGAGTCTGTTCCCAACTCTGCCTATGATCTTAATTTCAGGTCATTTCACTTCTCTGGGCCTCAGTTTTATGTTTATTATTTGGACACTGAGAGTATGGTGGAAGCAAAAGAGGAAGCAGATTTGAAGAAGGCACCATGAAGCCCATCTTTACGTGCCTGGGTTGGATGTGAAGAGTGATTACAGCACATCTGGAAACACATCTCTCACTGAGGATTCAGTTTAGTTTCAAATATTTATAATCATGTTTTGCTGTTACTGGGCATGCAGCGCATGAGCCAGGACTAATATTGCAAATCGTCTCAAAGATTACAACAATAAATATCTCTCTAGGAATGAAGTGGGGAATGACAGAACTTTACTCGTTAAAAGAGGAAAGGGACAGAATCACTACAATATACTTGAAGCAACTAGTTTCAGTATTTTCAGAGGCTGCTATCATGTTGGTCTCTTTTGCACGGATGCCTTTTACTTTTTGTTTCAAGGGCATTTAAAGACTTTTGTGAAGCAGCTCTCTTGGAATATCTTCGTGTGCTTTTTATGCTACTTGCTTTTCTGCTTGTTTCATTCACTGACATTTCGTAAAAGTGCTATTTCAGTAATTGCAGTTGTTGTTAATATTCAGCACACTTAGGGGCTTGTATTGAACAGCTGGACTTTGGATTTTCTTACATTTAAGAGTACCTGTTTCTTTTCAAACTGCAGTATTACGGTTTTCAGTAGTGTGTTTTTTACTTTTATTTTTTCTTCAGTATTGTCCTTTCCATCACAGAAAGAACTACTGTCCATGGCAGATTTTTGATTTGTATTTACTTATGTTATAATACTGGTTCATTCATAAGATATATGCAAGTCTTCACTATAACATTTTTCTGTAGGCTTAATATAGTGCTTTATCATTACTGAAGAAATCATTAGTAAAGCAGTTGCTTTGCCTAGCTGTGTTTGAGATACATGCATTAAAAAAAAAATAATTCTGAATTCCTTTGAGGGTATACACTGATTTTTTCCCTCCCCACACTTGTTGGGTTGAATGTTGTAGACTGGCGGCCTCAAAGCTCTTATGCAAATTTATGCAAGATGAAAGTGTGCAAGAATTTAGAAGCTGAGCTACTTAATTAGAGTACCTTGTGGATAAGATTAAAATTTCCAATGGTACTGCATGCATCAATTACTACACTGGAATAATTTAATTTTGAATTGCTTTTCTGTAACCAGGAGCAATGACTTCAACTGAAAACCTGTTGTAAATTTTAAAAATGGGTAGAAAGAACCAGATATGACTGCTGGCATGAGGCAGGCCTACTAAAGTTGTCCTGGGAAACTGCAGCAAAAAAACCCCTACCCAAACCCCTGGATAGTTTCTTTGTCTTGGGAGCAAATCAGCGAGGCTTCCTTTCTTGGATTTTAAGCAAGATGAATGGCCACAAAACAGAGCTGTCCCACAAAGATCCCCACGCTTACTACAGTGTAGAGGCATTACAGAAAAACTCATCGGGACATTCCATACTCTCAGGGAAGGAAGCAACTCTTCCTTTACTCAAACAAAGTTTGACCGCAACACCAGTTTTTGAGAAAGCATCACTGCTGAATGTAACATTAATGTGTTATACATGGCATGGATTTCTAAATGAGATCAGGGGGTCAATGCATGAGAAAACCACTAACAGTGCAGGTTTCCCAGTCAGGCAATACAATGACTCCTCATCTTTTGTAATTCAGGCTTTCACAAATTGAGGCTAACTCATTCTTGAATTACTGTACCCAGAAGAGGATTCAATATCGCAGCCGTAGGATATACTGTCTTGTATATCCCATTACAAAGCTGGGTAAGACTTAATTGCCATTTGATTAAGCTATGCACTTTCAGAAAGTCCTTGCATGATAGGGTACTATACAGAAATGGAACATGGTTAAACCAACTGTTTATGGTGCTTGGACTTCTTAAACATAAGAGGGCACCACCATCAGCAATTTCTGCCACTGTAGCATAAGACAATTACAGAAGAATAGAACAAGAGCCAATTTTGTTCAGGATTTTGTTTACTGGCAATGGGAAGTATGCTTATGGCATCAGCAAATGACATAAAACTGGACAAAGCTGCATGTCCGTTAGAGGGGATTAGAATTAAAGATGACTTTCATATGGAGCAAGATGCTGAAATTTGATAGGTACAAGAAATACATGTACACATAGGTACAAAAATCAGCTTCACAGATACACAATGAGAAGAACTATTTTCAAAACTTCATTGACTTTGCTGAGAATACTGGCGGAAAAAAAAAACCAACCAACTTTACAGAGCTTGGAAGTTTCACCTGTTATTTTAATTCTTTTTTTTTTTCTTTTTTTTGTTTTCTTCCTGCCCACCCACCCTTTCCCCCAGATCCGATGGCAGCGTGCCTGGCTGGGACAGGCAAGCAGCTCACCTGCTTGGCTCTGGGGAGCTGGAGGCAGCGCGGGAGGCAGGGCACCGTACGTCTGGCTGCCCTCCATGGCCACAGGCAAGCTCCTAGGGAATAGGGAGTCTAGTTTCCCCATCTGCCATGCATCAGCAACTCTGGGGAGTAGCTCTGAAACTATCCAGGCTGTCAGTAATCTGAAAATACCAGTAAATAAAATGTGCTAGGGCTGATTTTCTCTCCCTGGGGTCATAGCTCGCAACCAAATGGCTAAGCTCTCTTCTCAGAAAACACAGGGAGGCCTTTCCCAGACTGTCCCAGGTCTGTGCCACCCTCTGAGCTGTGTCCAGGCACTGTGTGAGAGATGCTGCTCGGTACAGGCTAAAGCTGTGCCAGGGCCACACTCACAGATAAGCAGCGTGGACAGGTAAGTGCCAGTGCAAAGCCCACGCCCTGGCTCTACGCAGTTTGCAGCAGGGGTAAGGCCTACAAACCAAGTCAAGTTCACGGCTGCTGTCCGGGGTGGCCAGGACTGACAAGGATCACAACAGCAGGCAGCAGTGACTTGGCTATGTGTGTTCCCTGGGATTTTGACATTTCCAAACCCCAAAGCCTGGTAGCAGTGCAGCTTGCACAGCACACTCACGCAGTCACCTTTTTTTCTCCCAAATTAAGACACAAATGATTTCTGAAAAACCTTGAAAATTCATCTCAATTATGTTTCTGAGCCAGCTTTAAAAATCACATTAAGCTTTATATAAACTTACATAAATTTCTATGTTGGCACATACATCTACCTCTCCTCAGCAGAGATCTTTGCTAGATCACGTACACCTATTTGTACACATCAGAATTACACACGCAAACGAGTTCAAAGCAGGGATGAAATTGGACAAACTGATACCATACACAAACAAAAATGTCATCCATCCTTCTTTCCTAGCAAATGGCTTGTGGGGTGGCTTTATTAGCTGAGCCAAAGACCTGCTGTATCCTCTGCAAAACATTTAACTTTCCAATTCCTAACACTCTGCGGCTCTCTAGTTGGTGTGAGCACGGCATGGGGGCTTTCAGTAACTGCAGGTGCTAGACACAAAGAGAAGCCTCAGCCACGTACCACAGTTGTCTTCATCGGCCCGGTTCCCGCAGTCATCCTCACCGTTACAGTGAAGTTGTTGGGGCAAACACTTTGTGATATTGCCACACGGAAAGTAGCCCAGGGGGCACCTGACCCCAGCTCCAGACACGTGATCTTCCAAAGAGTCATGGATGACTAAATAGAAAGAGAAAGAATATGCTTACTTTAAGATGCATACTTAATGTCTAAGGATCTTTGAGGTTATGCTCTTATAAATACTCATTTGCATTTGAATGTGAATGTCAAGTGATAAATACATATTAGTTCATTGGGCGTGCAATTACAGTAGTACATTAAGCACCTGTTAACTTGGCAAAACCATTTATATCATCAGCTAATTAAAATTTGCTTTGATATAAAGCAGCCAGGTAATTCCTCCCCACGCATCCTAGTAATAAGATGGAAATGCTAATCATACAAGTCAAATGACCTAAGGACACTATTTCAAAGGATTTTTTTGCTTTGCACTAGAAATTAATTTATTATAGCACTATACCAGATAAGCTATGCAGATATGGATTATATTAATTTGTGCTGAAATTTTAGACCCAGATAGATAAGTCCTTTTATACACGTCAGAATTACATATTTTTAAATGTATTCTAATTTTAAAGCAATTACTAGATGTAAACTGATCAAGGATCAAAGAACAAGGAAAGAAAGATCAAATCTGTGACATGGTTTTGCTGAAGAATGAGCAAGATGACATAAAGGTGCCATCATGAATCTTCTGGAAGAGTTGTCAGCCTGGTCCAAAAAATTTGGAGCTATTTTTCAGAATCTATCAGTCTCGAGTTTAGACACACAGATGCTGTTCTGCTAAGCCCATGCTTTATGGGAAGCAATTTCATTGAATACCAGAACTTCATTCAAGCAGTGCTGAGGGGAAAGTCGAGGGATGCTGATGAGGGACAGCCAGGGCAGCTGGAGGACTCTACCTGTCCTCTGTACTACAGCAGCTCCGATTACCCACATTTGCAGATGCATGATGCCTTACCAGTCCCTCCAGTGCACCTGAGGGACAAATTCTGCCACCACCACTTTTTCCAGAGTAAATGCCATAGATCTGCCGCTTTTGTAATGGACTGCAGGGTGCCAACTTTGATTTCTTGTCGTACAAGATCAACTTCTTCCCGGGAGCATGCTATGGAGAGGGTTTTAAATTACTCTAGAATTAAATTTGTTCAGTCTCCAATATATCAGAAATGGAGAAAAGCGTCACCAGCACAGAGCGTTACCTAGAACTCTTCACCCTCCCAAAGCTTCAGTAAACCTACCCGGTGAAGTATCATTCTGCAAGGGCCTGCTAATTAAATTTTTGAAGTACTTTTCCTGAAAGGAATATAACTTCCTCATCATAGCTAGCATTTGACTTGGGGGATGTTGTCACAAAAGAAAAGATAAAAATTCCAATACAAATTATATTTTAAGTTTCATTGCTGTTTCGGAGCACTTGAAATACTCTATACAAACATCACTAACTGTGATGTGATGCTTGTTCAGATAGTAAATTGCCACTTCTGAAACACACAACCGTTTTTCCAGGCTATTTTAGTATGGCAAAGTATAAATCTTTTACACAACTTTCTCAGATTAACAAGGAATATGTTATTATACAACAGCTATTTTTTGTCCTTATTTTTCTTCTGGACTAAGGGAATCACCTGAAATTGAATCAAGTACGTCAGATTCATAAGGAATCTCTTCTGGGAGAATTTTCACAGGTTAAACCCTTGACAATGTTTACAACGGTGGATAATTGAAATGCAGGAGCAGTATCTGGAGGAAATCGAGATAAATATTCTGTTATTCCTATATGCACAGAATTATCTTTGCTGTCAAAAGCATGCTATATAGAAAGTCATATATTCCAGCTAACAATCACATGATTTTGAAAAGTCGATTTGCTTTTATCCACAACTGTATAACCTATGCAATTACTCGAAGAGACTTTTGCCTTAATTCTTTATCCCTCTTATGTATAGGTACCAAAAATGAGGCCATATTCCAATCCCAGGGTGAATTCACACTTGCATATTGTTCATAAACCTCTCTGCTGTTCTGTGCTTGTATTCAGAACATTATGTTTAACCTGTTCCACCCAGAATCGAGTAACAAAAAAAATCTCACGCACGCTTAGTGTTAAGCAAACAGAATACATGTAGTACTTGGTGTCTAAAGTGTCTTCCTGCAAAAAGTTAGAAATCACAGAGAGCTGAGGTTCCCTTCAGTGCAGTTATCTGTCACAAGCCGAGTAACTACTGAAACACCTGGTAAAAGACAACAATATGGGAAAATGTATTGTAAATGAAAAAAAAAACAACCCCCACCAAGCAACCCCTTACATTTTGTTAAGCCTTTTACCCTACGCACCAGAAGCATATTCAGACTGAGCTGAACTTTGTGCTCAAAGGGGCTGATCTCCACGCAGCTGAAATTCCAAATGATGGCATTTAATCTTCTCAGAGTACCATTCAATGGATTTTCATAGCATTTTCCAGAAATGATTATTAACTAGTCACATAGTATTAATCCCTAAACTAATTAATGAATTCACTGTCACAGTTTAGAAAACATTCTTTGTAAAAGAGTACATAATCCCTCGCTGTGTTTAATTACTTGAATTATCTGTAAATTTATAGCCTTGATGATATCTCTTCTGAATCTCCACATTATTCATTTTGTGCGATGTCACATTACCCTGGCGTGTAAATATCTGCCTGGGAAAGAAGATAAGAAGGCATCAACACTTAACAACTTCATCCTAGTCGAATCATTGAAAGCACTGGTCCTTGTCCATTGGCTTTTTAACGTCACTTTGTTTATGCAAAAAAAAAAAAAGACAGACGTTTGGAGCCTGTGGATTGCAGGAGATTTATGAATGCAACACCCCCGCCAACCCTCTGAGGAAATAGTTGGCAAAGCTGACAAAGGTAGACAGGAGGTAAGACAGCAAAATCTATTGTAAAATTCTAATATTAATATTAATATTATTAATGATTTATTATTATTTAATATTTAATATATAATTATTATTTAATATTAATAATAATATTAAAACAATTTTCTTTTGGATTAAGGAAATTAAAATGGTGTCTTTTGTGTGAGGAAAATGGATAAAGATAGCACTGCAACAAGCAACAAAAAAAATCTGCTTCTTATTTTGCAAATACAAACTTTACTGACACTGGAGTTTATCATGCCAAGATAAAGATCTATCATGCTGTCATTGTGATGCAGTATTAAAGGTGTTGACTTTTCTATCTGTTATTGATTTTCCACTCCGAAAAAAATTGAACCACTCTTCTAGTGTCTTGTTTCATTGTCCTTTTTTTTAAGCAACTAAACCTGCTGATGGAATGGCTCTAAAAATATTGATTAATGATTATTTCATCGCATCCTGTCACTGGCTGTTTCACATTGGTGTTAAATAAAGAAAAAGAAAAATGTTATTTTGTACTCCTTTTATTAATCCATAGGTTATGTCTCTGTTCCATATATGTACCAAGCTTCCGAGGTACGCCTATTGTTTTATAGGTTCTCATTCACAGCTCATACAGGATAGAACATCTCAGCTTTGCTTTTACCCCTAAGCTAGCATTGTAAAAGCATGAGACCCTCTGTAAGACCAAAGTAGTACCACTAGCAAACCATATAAACAATCAACTTGAACACTAATATGGCTTGATTAATATAAATTATTTGTGCTTTATAATGAGTAAGTTTGGGTCAATATCGTTATCTTGCACAGTCAACAGAAAAATCCCCACGATGTCCAATGTGAGATATGGCAAATGTAGACTGATAGATAAAGGAAGACTAAAAATGTTTAAGCTGTGTGTAAAGAATTGAGCTACAAAGGTAGAAACTAGAGAAAAGGTGGCACTCAGGACAGATTTGTTTGGGCCTCAGTTATGAAGATGAAAAGTATAAATCTGTGACAGATTTGATTATGTCAGAAGGTTTGCTTTTACAGATACTCCAAGTGAAAAAAAAAAATCTCTTTTTTGTATACCTCATACAGAAAATGATCTCCTGCTTTCTGGTGACATAATTTCAGCTATACTGTTTTGGCTACATTTTAGTTATACTGTACCCGCAACAATTTTTTTTTTCCCTCACAATGATCAGAGTAAATATTAAAATATTTGCAATGTTTCTAGAACAAATAGAAAAGAAATAGGTGAACTGGTATCAGCACAAATGGCAAAACCACAAACAAGCATCTTTCTGACAAGATGTTTGCCATCTCAATACAGAATAATGTTCTATGCAGTAGTGCACGTTCATGATTCTGTGAATTAAGTATTTCTATCATGTACTTAGGGTCCCCCTCTGTTTCCCAATTCTTCTCAAACTTTCAAAAAGAAAACAAGAGTTCATTTCATACATCTTTTAAGTTTGTCCAGACCTGCTGCTTCGAGGCAGTTACTGTTAAGGCAGACATCTGTGATCTTTCCTCTATCCTGAGGAAAGTGGATAACTCTTTTCCTGCTAGTCTAAAATATAAGACTAATTTAACACTACTTTCCTCTTTTAAAGGAATAAGCAAGAGTTGGGTTGCCAGAATCACTGGGGAAAGAACATGACAGCCCCACTTTAAGCTCTCATAAAATGAAATCAAAAGAGGGAACGCATTTGGGAAAGCCAAGAACAAGATATTCCCAGGAGAACACTGCTTTCCTTCCAACTACATTGATTCATGAAGATCACTGCTTTCATGCATTCTTTGAAAAATAGCACAAAATTTTGAAAACAGAGATTGGGTCACAAATGCTGTTTGAGAAACCAAATAAGGGACACGTGCACTATAGAAGAACAGAAATTTAACACAGTTACTTGTAGCTTCCATGAAATAAGTGAATATGACTCCATAATGGGAACAGTACTGGGCTGATTAGACCGAGTCATAAGCAATTAAACTAATCAAAGCAGCATTACTCATTGCTTGGTAATTGCTAGTCACATCAGTCTCAACTGTATTGCATTTAGGTTCAAATAAGGGCATATCATAATATCAGGAAAATATTTTTGTATTTTCAAAAATTTGAATTGCATGAAGACCCTTTGTCATGATTCCAAAATTACTCTCAAATTCCATCAGGTAAATAAGCTAACGTGATTTCTTCCCTTTGAGTAAGTTATCAGTTTAAAAGTACTGGGGCTGACGAAATCCAACTGTTTTTAAAAAGGAGTCCTTAGATGACAAGGACCGAGGAATGATCATGGTACTGAAGAATCCACCCTGTACTTACCATGATGGAAAGTTATTTTACCTACAAATGTCCAAATTTTTCAAAGAGACCAATGCAAATTTACCAAATGATGGGACTTTTCCCACACTCCCATAACTTATTTTAGTTGCCATACTTCTAGACACAGTGGGAAATGGGCTAGAGGAAGAGAAGACTGAAAATACTCACTTGAAATGCTTGTTTTGAAACAGAATGTTTTCTTCAACTAAAACAGAAAGAGTCAACAAAGAAAATATTAAAGTTGAACTTGATTTTTCCTGTCATTTTTGTGCTAGCCTGAATGCTTCAGGATGACAGTTGATTAAAAAAATTATTCTTCTGCTGGAAGGTATTTGAAGGGCACACGAACTGGCTTTGAAAAACCTTCAGTGTAATACAGAGGAGGAGACCTCACAGGCCTGTAACCTTTATTCTTAAAGCGAAATCGTCAGAACAAGGCTATAAAACAAGTTTATAACTATTAATTCCTTTAACTTAAAAGATGGTTAATTAATGATTGACAAAGAATAGTAGTGACAAGTGGTTGTTCAACTCTGATCAGAAGCATTTGAATCACTAAATGGCAGAAATAAGAGATATGACATCTTAAAAGAACCTTACTTTTTAAAAATAATTTGTTGTCTGAACTTTTCCTTTACAATCACATATAAAAGTGAATGATATTTCATTCAGTCTTACATCAGTTTTCCAGGTCTTGTTCTGAATTATTCAGCTTCTTCCCACTAAACAAGGGAATTTTGGAGCAGTTTATGATAGAGACTAGGATGAAGTTAGTCCAGTGTATTTCAGGATAGAAATACAAAGTTAACTTTTGCATGCTTTTATTTAACTTATTTACAGCTTTATCTGTGGGAATGCATTTTTTTTTTCAGCACATCATTTTATAAAGACTCTCCTAAACCTGATACTTCTTTTAGGAAAAGCTTTCTAGTGATTTCTGTGAATATGTAAAGGGAATCCCATTATATTAAAATTATTTTATTAACATTTAAAAACTGTCCATAAATGATGTATTGAAAATAGATTCTAATTTCATACCAGAATAAAAACCAGTTTATGCACTTGGACTTTAATGCTATTAATGTACACGTTTGGAGTAACCCCTTGGGCAAAACTTGTCGACCAAAACAGACCTTGCTCTAGTAGCAACAGATACATTAATTCTTGAGGCAAAGCATCACCAGCTTAAAGGTTTAAACATCTGTACAGGATCCCCACAGGAGTATAATTAAACTGTTATCACTACATTGCCTTTTCTGTAATTTCCTCCTCTCCTCCTTCGCTAATTGTTCAGCCCTGATGTCTATAGCATTTTCTAAATATCTGTATAGCATACGCATTGTGTTTGTAATTTTAGATTTTATTGGGTTCAAGTGATGCAGTGGCATTTATTCAGAATGACAAAGGCTTGCAACAGCTTCATTTCTAAAGCACTGTCAATTCTTTATATTTTGGCTGTTGCTCTTGCAACCAGAATTACATTTTCAGTTTTATTGCATTACATTTATCTTTAGTGGACCATATTAGATGTCATTCTAGGAATATGTAGTACTTGAACTACACACATAAGTTTATGACTGACTATACAAAATGTTTGCTTTCCTTAAACACAATCTAGTGCAAAGGATTTTAGCACAAAAGATGCATATATGATGACTGCTTATATTGCATGCCAATCTGGTCATTATCTTGGATTTTAATTTCATATAGTACCTTTATGTCTTGCTGTGGATTTCACAATGCTTTCATTTCAGAAGCGTTTTCCAAAGTAGAAAATTCATACAGTCTTATTGAAAATATAGACTCCAATCTCATAACAACATTACTGAACTTAGTTATCAGTTATACCACAGGTAAGACAGTCTAATTAATCCAGCTATAGTGCTGGAAGATCCTCTTTGTAAAATGGCCAGATAAAGCCACTAAAGGGCCA